CAGGGAAAGTATGGGATATTTAATGATTAGCATATATGGAATTATGTGTAGGTAAATTAAAATATGTAAATCGGTGTTTTTTTACCTATGTTCTTTTACCATAAGTAAATAATAGTTACGTCACTGGTTTTTGTGCTTAATGAATATTTGATTAGTTTGCTAATTTTATAAAATTGCGGCTTCCATGGAGGATCAAGAAATCGGAGTGCTTTTCGAATACCTTAAAAGGGAGCCGGAGATGTACCGCATTTTGCAATGGTTCGTGAACAGGACTGTTCAGGTAATTTTCACTTTGTCTTCCTCTTTCTTTAAAGTTTGTTCCACCCGCTGTATGGTCTTTTATCACGTATTTTTTGCATGAATTTAAAGATGGCAGCGAATTTTATAGTCTTTTATTGTATTTTGCTTGCATAATGTCTGCAAATTCCATGCAGGCGTTTCTGATTTACCGCTGTTTATTTATGTGGTGCTGTAAGGGCATATCATCAATTCAAACACTAAAGTGAGTTATGCCAGCATTAACGTTTGCATTTTTTTCTAAATCCATACAGCGGGTGGAACAAACTTTAAAGAAAGAGGAAGACAAAGTGAAAATTACCTGAACAGTCCTGCTCACGAACCATTGCAAAATCCGGTACATCTCCGGCTCACTTTTAAGGTATTCGAAAAGTATTTCTATTTCTTGATCCTCCATGAGAGCCGCAATTCTATAAAATTAGCAAACTTATCAAATATTCATTAAGCACAAAAACCAGTGACGTAACTATTATTTACTTATGGTAAAAGAACATAGGGTAAAAAAACACCGATTTACAAATTTTAATTTACCTACACATAATTCAATTTTATGCTAATCATTAAATATCCCATACTTTCCCTGATCCTTTCTTTTAACCATAATTCTGACACAACAAAAAGACACGAAAATAGTGACGAAAATGAACATTCATAATAATAGTATTTCTCTGCAATCTTTCGCGCTCGAGAGTCATTATTCTTTCGCGCTCATGAAGATTTTTTTTTTTTTTTTCATCTAATATATGGAGGCTGTTCCATCCTTTTTTGTTTCTTCGAATATTCCTTTGGTCTCTACTACATCTCAATCTAACATCTTTGTACTATATGTATTATCGTTCTTCTACATAAACATTTTTTTTTCTTCTCTCAATTATTTCTATTAATTAATGCAGATTTTTATTGATTTTCTTAGGGATGAATAGACAAATAAAGGTTACGTACAAATTACCACTTCTGATTTTTTCACAATTTAATAAGATTTTTTTAGCAATTCATTCATGTTCTATTCCTTGTATTTCTCATCGTCGTCAAAATTTTTTTATCATTATGGCATCCACCAGGTACTGTATTGACCAAAACAGTGCAGTTATAGGAGCTGTTTACAAAAAGACTTTTTGATTTACTAGCTAAACAGGATATAACTTTTCACCCTTTTTAGTAAAAATAAAATTAGTAAGAATTAAAATGTTTTTAACATTTAATTTATTATAACTTTTAATATCTGTCGAAATTTCTTAGGTAACCCTGTCTGGATTTGTGACTAAAAATAATTTTAATATTTAAAAAACATTTGAAATCAATTATAATTGCAGATTTAATAAATTTCTGCAATGAAAGTTTGCTTTAAAGTTAACTTTTAAAATTTAGCATAAAATGTCAAAAATAGTAATTAAAATGTCAGCAGATCAAGTTTAATGCAAATAAAATAATCAATTAAGTTCAATAAATGTTTATTTTTAGATGAAATATATTTTTCCAGCACAGGTAAATTTTATTTGAAACAGAATTAAACAAAATTAAAACATTTTTAGTATTTATTTTATTAAAACTTTTAATATCTGTCGAAATTTCTGTAGCAACCCAATCTGGATTTGTGACTAAAATTAATTTTAATATTTAAAAAATATTTGAAATCAATTATAATTGCATTTAAAAAATTCCTGCAATGAAAGTTTGCTTTAAAGTTAACTTTTAAAGTCAGAAGTTAGCAAAAAATGTCAAAAATAGTAAATAGAATGTAGGCAGATCAAGTTTAATGCAAATAAAAGAATCAATTAAGTTCAGTAAATGTTTATTTTTAGAAAAAATAAACATTTACTGAAAGAAATTAATTAAAAAATAATTTGCAATGAAAGTTTGCTTTAAAGTTAACTTTTAAAGTCCAAAGTTAGCATAAAATGTCAAAAATAGTAAATTGAATGTCAGCAGATCAGTTTAATGCAAATAAAAGTAATCAATTAAGTTCAATAAATGTTTATTTTTAAATGAATTACATTTTTCCAGCACAGGTAGATTTTATTTGAAACAGAATTAAGTGAAATTAAAACATTTTTAGTATTTATTTTATTAAAACTTTTAAAATCTGTCGAAATTTCTGCAGTAACCCAATCCAGATTTGTGACTAAAATTAATTTTAATATTTATAAAATATTCGAAATCAATTATAATTGCAGTTTTAATTAATTTCTGCAATGAAAGTTTGCTTTAAAGTTAACTTTTAAAGTCAGAAGTTAGCATAAAATGTCAAAAATAGTAAATAGAATGTCAGCAGATCAAGTTTAATGCATATAAATGTAATCAATTAAGTTCAATAAATGTTTATTTTTAAATGAAATACATTTTTCCAGCACTGGCAGATTTTATTTGAAACAGAGTTAATAAAAATTAAAACGTTTTTAATATTTAATTTATTAGAACTTTTAAATGCTGGTAAGTTTGATAACATACTTTTTTTATTAGAACTTTTAAAATGTTTTATTCTTGTCTAGGTACCGCATGAAATTTGTTGTGCCAAAATTATCTTTAGATTGTTTACTATCGTTTATTTGCATTTAAAAAAGCTAATTCTCTGATACGATTATCAAGAGTGGAGAAAATCAATGCTAATAAAAATCTCCGTTGACGGTATAAATGTTACTCTATTCCCTCATTTGTTTGTCTTCTTATTTATTCACCATCTTCAAAGCACATAAAGCGTTCTTTCTTATTGCGCCAAATAGTTAATTCCAGCCAGCTTGACAATGCATTTACAACGGAGATACCAACACCATGTACCACGTAAATCCGTCAGAAACCTTATAGGTATATTGCTACCAGATTCGTACACTAGGGTCATTATTATTATCTATGTTGCTGATATTCCTTCTTCATGACAATATCAGCTCAAATGCTACAACCATTATCACTCACAGATACTCACCTATGCTAACCTCAATTTTGCCATAATACCCGAGCACTAAAGACTCACCTACACCTTATATTATCAACAACCTCATATATGCAAGCCAGACCCATCACCAGGTATCCCTAACCCCTCTTTCTCCCCCCGCCCCCTCCCCTTCAACGTACACACCTGGATGGACGCTTCCTTACAATACCATGACCTCTTAAGATTTTTATTGCACCAGCGTTATTAATTTACTACTTTCCATACAAACTTTTCCATTCTACTTATAAATGTTAATATATTTTATATATGTATTATTAAATAACGTTGACATTAGAGAATCACTTTACGCCACCACCGTTAATATACGGATTGGATAGAAGGATTCGAACCCTAGCACAGCGACACCGAAGACCGCTGCCTTATCACTTGGCTACGCCCACCCCAACATTATTCACTTCTGTAACAACATACTATATTACTCACCAATTAGTATGATTTATTTCTTCTATAGGTATTATTACAATAGCTTACACCATTTAGTATGATTTATTTCTTCTATAGGTATTATTAACAATAACTTACACCATTTGTTATTAAGGTTTACACTTTTTTTTTTTGTATTTATTGCATGCATTTATTTTTTTCGTTGTTCTCACTCGTTTTTTATTAACTTTGTTTTTGCATGCATTTTTCGGTTAATTTTATTAACTGCGTGCTTTTTGTAACTTTATATTATTTGATGTTTTTTTATTAACAATGTTTTTGCATGCGTTTCTTGCTAGTTTTATTAACATGCATGTATTTTGTGAACTTACTTACATAATTTATTATTAAGGCGTTTTTTCTTTTGTATTTATTGCATGCTTTTATTTTTAACTTTTTCGTAACTTTATTCATTATCTTTTGTATTTATTGGCATGCTTTTATTGGCTACACCTACTCCAACATCAATTCACTTGTGTAACAACATACTATTACTCACCAATTAGTATGATTTGTTTCTTCTATAGGTATTATTACAATAGCTGGGCTGATCATAAGAATGCATTGCTCAACTTTTTCAATAATTTTAATCAATTTGATCGCTTCTGCTTTTCATAATTGCTATTACTTCACAACTACTATTAATTTCACCTTTTTATAGATAAAGAGAATTCACTTTAGGTAATATATTTTTTCTTTCTTCAGAAACATATATATATATATATATAGCTAATTTCTTTATTCTTTAATAATTCTTCAGGAATAGTTTTAGCCTCCCTCACATTCGAAAAAGTTGTATAAACTAAAACTAAACTGTTCATTAGAATCATCTACTATACATCACTTAGATTGAAAAATCTCTTAAGAAAAAATAGAAGAGAAATCCTGTTGTTTCACTATGTAACAATGAAATTTTGAAATTTTTTATTATCAAATCCTTAATAGAAATACAAAAAAAGGATTTTACTCGATGAATAACAACGCAGAAACCAACAATTATCCCAGCAATTGCAGAAAAGAGTATTAATTAAATCTGTGGAGTTTTAGCTCTTTTTTTTTTTTATTTTATTTGCTAGTAGCTCACAGACTTTCATTTCTCTCCTTGGATTCTCAAAAATCTTAGCGCATTGTGTGTACGTATCACTGTGCAGCCCTGATGGCAGTACAAAATGCCCATGCAAAATACGCCTCAAATTCGTTTATTCTAACATCATTTTTGGATTTCACCCTTACATTCTTTATTAATCATTTGGGTATATCGTGTAAGTAGACAAAATTAGTCATCCCATAATGTACAGAGGAAAGTCATCGATCGATACGAGATAACTAATTACCATAATATAGCAGCGGCAGCAGCAGCATTCCATCGGTACTCCAGCATTGCCAGTTGCAGCGCCTATAGCTAAAAAAAATCATATGAACATTTGGCTGAAGGAAAATGTACTGCACCCACTCATTCATCTCTGCAATAAGCTTTACTGTAATCAAAATAAACGTGGCACATTCATTCATATTGGTTTTGTGCGTGCGTGCATATTGGTAAAATAAAAGACGACAAATTTTTTGACGCTTTTAGCTTATTTTACACGCAGTCTATGGTTATAAGCAGTGTTGCAATGAATGATTTAGAAAAAAAATGCAAGCGTTAATGCTGGCATGACTCACTTTAGTGTTTGAGTTGATGATATGCCCTTACAGCAGCACATAAATAAACAGCAGTAAATCAGAAATGCCTGCATGAAATTTGCAGACATTATGCAAGCAAAATACAACGAAAGACTATAAAATTCGCTGCCATCTTTAAATTCATGCAAAAAACACGTGATAAAAGACCATACAGCGGGTGGAACAAACTTTAAAGAAAGAGAAAGACAAAGTGAAAATTACCTGAACAGTCCTGCTCACGAACCTTTGCAAAATCCGGTACATCTCCGGCTCCCTTTTAAGGTATTCGAAAAGCACTTCGATTTCTTGATCCTCCATGGGAGCCGCAATTCTATAAAATTAGCAAACTTATCAAATATTCACTAAGTACAAAGACCGTAACTATTACGTAACTATTATTTACTTATACGTAACCATTATTTACTTATGGTAAAAGAACACATGATAAAAAAACACTGGTTTACATATTTTAATTTACCTACACATAATTCTATTTATGCTAATCATTAAATACCCCATACTTTCCCTGATAATTCTGACGCAACAAAAAGAAAAGAAAGTAGTGACGAAAATGAACATTCATAATAATAGTATTTCTCTGCAATCTTTCGCGCTCGAGAGTCTTTATCCTTTCGCGCTCATGAAGATTTTTTTTTTTTTTTTTTCATCTAATATATGGAGACTGTTCCATCTTCGAATATTTCTTTGGTCTCTACTACATCTCGACCTAACATCTTTGTACTATGTATATTATCGTTCTTCTACATAAACTTTCTTTTTCTTCTCTCAATTATTTCTATTAACTAATGCAGATTTTTATTGATTTTCTTAGGAATGAATAGACAAATAAAGGTTACGTACAAATTACCACTTCTGATTTTTTCACAATTTAAAAAGATTTTTTAGCAATTCATTCATGTTCTATACCTTGTATTTCTCATCGTCGTCAAAATTTTTTTTATCATTATGGCATCCACCAGGTACTGTATTGACCAAAAACAGTGCAGTTATAGGAGCTGTTTACAAAAAGACTTTTTGATTTACTAGCTAAACAGGATATAACTTTTCACCCTTTTTAGTAAAAATAAAATTAGTAAGAATTAAAATGTTTTTAACATTTAATTTATTATAACTTTTAATATCTGTCGAAATTTCTTAGGTAACCCTGTCTGGATTTGTGACTAAAAATAATTTTAATATTTAAAAAATATTTGAAATCAATTATAATTGCAGATTTAATTAATTTCCGCAATGAAAGTTTGCTTTAAAGTTGACATATAATGTCAAAAATAGTAACATAAAATGTCAGCAGATCAAGTTTAATGCAAATAAAAGTAATCAATTAAGTTCAGTAAATGTTTATTTTTAAATGAATTATATTTTTCCAGCATTGGCAGATTTTATTTGAAACAGAATTAAACAAAATTAAAACATTTTTAGTATTTATTTTATTAAAACTTTTAAAATCTGTCGAAATTTCTGTAGTAACCCAATCTGATTTGTGACTAAAATTAATTTTAATATTTAAAAAATATTTGAAATCAATTATAATTGCAGATTTAATTAATTTCTGCAATGAAAGTTTGCTTTAAAGTTAACTTTTAAAGTCCAAAGTTAGCATAAAATGTCAAAAATAGTAAATAGAATGTCAGCAGATCAAGTTTAATGCAAATAAAAGTAATCATAAATGTTTATTTTAAAATGAATTACATTTTTCCAGCATTGGCAGATTTTAACCGAAACAGAATTAATTAAAATTAAAACCTTTTTAATACATAATTTATTAAAACTTTTAAAATCTGTCGAAATTTCTGTAGTAACCCCATTTGGATTTGTGACTAAAATTAATTTTAATATTTAAAGTATTGGAAGAAAAATATTAATAAAACTGAAGAAGTCGCGCCTGGGAGATAGATATATTATATAGAATGTTACATATAAAAATAAGATGCATATAAATGTTGCTGGTTTAATCAATAAACCAAACTTGTGGTCAAAAGAGAGAGAGAGAAAAAAAGGAAAAGCACGATGGATGTAAGTGAATCAATGAATGTTCGGAATGCCAATGTTTAAGGCCAATCAATTTAGTGAAAGCAAATAAGCCTAGGACAAATCTGTTTATGCCTGCCCAACAATTTTCTCCCTAGAGAATTCAATAATAGAAAGAAGGAAAGGGGGTTTGTTTATTATACATTTGCTTCAAAGACAAATCAAACTATGATAAACACTATCTAGAATGAAAAATTGAAGAATAAATTTAACAAATCTGATCACTCATAAAAAAACAATTAGAACAGATGGAAGTGACATCAGAATCTAATTCTCACATAAATGTCAACGAATTCTCTTCATTCCAACATTATCCACAACTCTAATGCCTAGACAATAGAAAGTTAATTTTGAAAAAAAAAAATAGAATGTGGAAATTAAAGGAAATGCATAATGTAAAATAAAAACAAATAGGCGTAGAGGATAAAACTAAAGAGAGAGAGAGAGAGGGAGGAGGTTAATCTTTATTTAGAGCTGAATTATAAATTCATTGTTACCATTCGCTTTTCAATATTATTGTTAAAAGGATATGATAATTAGAAATAATCGCAGATATTATTGATAAAAAAAAAAAAAAAAAAAACGAAGTGAAATTTATTAGACTGAATAGTGACAATAATAAATTACATAAATATTTAGGAAAAGTAATAGATAAAAGTGAAATTGAATTTAAAATTCTCAAATGAATGCTTTATAGCTTCAACAATTATATGTCATTTCAGTTATTGAACATTTTGTTTGTTTCAAATTAAGTACCTATATTATATTTCTCAAAAAAAAAAAGAAAAAAAAAAGTAGATACATTAATTTGTAGTAGACAAAATAAGAGAATATAAAAGAATAAAATAGCTATCATTTGAAAGAAAAGCGCATTTTAAATACGATCTATCAGTTGATATTCTCAAGAGTGATAAAAAAAAAAAAGATGAAAATGTGAAGGCAATAATTTGTCTTTCTATTTTCTTCCTTAACAAGTTAGCATTTGCAAAATTTTTTTTTTTAGTCCAATAAATATTTCAATTTCATCAATGATGAAATTGTTCAAAAAGTTATATCAAATTTGTATAAAATAAAGGTTGAAATGATAATTATTATCTTTCAATTATTTTCAATATACTACAATTAAAAAAAAAACTCTTTAAATTCACATAATTCATATAAGAATTTAGCTTTGAAATCTCAATAAAAAAGTTATTTAAAAAAAAAAAAATGATAGTAAATAACTGAAATAAAAAGTAAAAAATAAAATAAAAAAATCAGGAAATGATGGAATAAGAGAGGATGTGATATATTAGACAATGTTGTGAATAACAGCAATCAGTTAAGTAAATAAACTAATGATATTTAACAATCCCATAAGCAACTAATATTTTTTTTTCAAATATATTTCTAAATTGTTTTTCTTTTCGTTTTTTTTTAAAAAAAAAAGACTTTTTATTGAAAATTTTCAATTAAATGCTTGATATTAAAATTTTATGAGCGTAGATAATTAAATACAATAATTGCTTTCTTTTTTTTAAAAAAAAAAAAGAATATAAAAGAAATTAACAATAATGAAAAATTAGCTTTTTTTTTGTTTTTTTTTTTAAATTATTTTGTAAAATAAAAGCATTTCCTATCATTCAATTATTTCACAAACAATCTAATCTTCTTCGTCTATTTATATTTTATTTATTTATTTTTTTTATTCTTTAAGTTTCTTCTCTAAAAAAAAGAAAAAAAAAGAATTTTAAACTTATATCATAAATGATTAAATATAATTCATAGAGAATAAAATACATTTTTGAGATAAATCACTTCATAAAATACCCATCTAAATCAGAATTATTCATAAGTTATATTTTATTAATTAATTGCATCTATTATATGAATTAAAATTTGCAAAATAAATTTAAAATGCAAAAATTGAAATGAATTGAAAAAAAAAAAAAGACGAAATTGTTACTTATTCCAAAGAGAAATCATTTCATTATTTATTGCACTGCTAGCAATAACATCAGCAAGAAGCTGCAATATCTAACATCAAGATATCATTTTCAAAGTCATGAGGTGTGTGTATGTGTATGTATATGTGTGTATGCATGGTGTATGTGCATGTGTGTGTGTGTGTGTATGTATGTGTGTGTTGTGTATGTGTGCATGTGTATATGTGTATGTGATGTTTATGTGTATGTGCATGTGTGTGCATATTTGTGTGTGTGTTATGTGTATGTTTGCGCATTTGTGTGTGTGTCCTAAAGACGAAAAAAAAAACATTTTTTTTGGATTATATTTAAATTCAGTGCAGTCAGTCCATCCAAATTCCATCTATGTTTTTTTTTTTTTTTTTTTTTTAAGAAAAAATCAATTTTCATTTCTAAGCATACATACATTCATCGTTATATAAAAATATTTATTCTTATTGAAATATTATTATTTCAATTTTGTTATGTAAATAAAATTTTCAATTCCTTTTTTTTTTATTTAAATTTGAAATTTATTTATTCATTGAAATGATTCATTTGAATAATATGAAATAAAAATTTAGTGAGCGAAGAATTCTTCATTCAATGATTGCATTTTGTTTTTGTTTTCAACTAAATTATTTTAATAATTAAATAGTAGATGAACAATTGTAAACATTTTTTTTTTAAAGTTGTCTTATTTATTAAAATTTGAACTGTTATTTACACTTATTAACTGAAATTTAATTAACTTAAGGAAAGGAAAAAAAAATTAATAATATTAAAAGTGTCTCCTGATGAAGTAAATTATTACAAATGTAATTTTTTTTAAAAAAATGATACAAAAATTGGTTAATTTGAAGAGGAAAATTACTAATTAATAATGCAAAAATTATTAGTTAGTATGATTGAGAAATATACTAGCAAATGTATATTAATTAAAATTTTAATCTTATCCTTATGTTATCATTGATATTTTGATGCTAAAAGTTTTAATTAACAAAGCAAAAAAAAAAATTTTTTTTTATCAATTCTTTTCAAATAATTGAGTGAATTTTACAGATCTGTGATCTACTGAAATGAGATGAGATGACAAAAATTATGATAGGGTTAGGTTTTTTCTTTTTTTTTTTTGATTACTCAAAATCTTTTTTTTTTTAATATTCAAAATCCTCCTTCTTTTTTTTTTTTGCAAAACTCTAAAATTAAAAATTATTAAACAAATGGAATTTGAATAATTAAAACAAAAAAAAAAAGATTCAAATGAACTATATATTCATAATAATCATATTCTGTAATTTTTTTCTTACTTTTTCAATATTTCTGCACATACACAATGGCGCATTTGAATTTCTGTGGCGCAAAAAGTAATGATTGTATTATTTTCATTTATTTAAACAACAACAACCATATTGTTCTAATTAAATTGTAAAATAATGAAATGAGATGACATTTATTCAACTAGTAACACTGTAATTAATTAGACAGATAGTAGTCCACTTTTTTTTTTTTCATTATTTTTTCTCGAAGGATAATATCGCATTTTGCATTTTATTTAATTGATGAGACTTTAAAAAAAAAATATACATGG